TGAGACCTATGTCCTGCATCTGGAGCGGGAGATTGGAGTGATCAACTTGAAGCCAGGCTATGTCAGGGTCTATGACTACTACCATCCAGGTCAGTGTGGAGTGATGCGCTTCCAGGACTGTCTGGGTGTTTGCACTTGGCTGTGTAAGGATAACTTAGATCTGTCTTGTTACAGAGGATCAGGCCCTGGCTGATTATAATATCTCCTGCATCTGAGGTAGGTGTGAGTCCCTTCCTCAGCTCCCACACAGAGCTAGCAGTCTTGTGATGTTTCTTCTGCAACCCAGCCACCTCTCTCTGTCCCGCAGGGGCCCTGCGTGTCTCTGATTCAGCATGTTCCCTTCATCTAGGACTATATCTAGGGCTTCCAGGGACTTTAGTCTCTGCCCTTGTTTTTGTGGACTTTGTAATGTATTTTTTGCTGGGGTTGCCCTGTGGGCAGGACATGATGTGATTAACATGTGTCCATGCTGTGAAGGATCAGTAGTGTGCGTTTTCTGGGACTCTCATAGATGGTTTGCACCGTTCCAGAACAACTTTCAGGCAGGATTCATGGTACCAGTTTCAGCTTACTCTGTCTGGGTATGCAGAGTCCCTCTTTCTGGGTAGGTAAAACAAGGACACTAGATCAAACCAGAGAAACCTTTTCCCTTAGAGTCCTTAGAGACTGCCTGGGCTTCCTAGCTATTAGCATCCCAGAGTTAATGATTTGGGTTGTATTATTTGCTCTCTTCTGCTTTCATTTCTCCAAGGGCTTGTTCTGCTCCCTTACTGTCCACTTTCAGCCCACAGAGATCCTACTAGTGCAAGATGCGAGATGGGAAGTCACATTTCAGTGGGCTTGGGATATTGGTGCTGGGACAGATCTCAAACTGGATTTCAGGACTAACTTCAGCCAAGCCATGCTGCTCATCCTGACAGCCATTTTCTGGAGAATTCTTCGGGGTGTCTGATTAATTCTGATTGCTTTAATTGAGGGATTTTCTTGCTTGTAAATATATAAAATAAAATATAAAGCACAAATCTGGCTGCTGTGTATCTGGATTCTTGTGACAGAGGATTACCTTGCAGGAGAGGGCAGAAGTGAACTCTTAGAGAGTGCATCTGAACCACGTACCTGGCATTTATTTCTTCCAGCGCTGGGTTTCCCTCCAGAGCATTGTTGTAGCCATCAGTATGGGATAAGGACTCCTAGCCTTGCATGGAGACTGATCCCACTGAGAATCCTCTATTGCACACAAATGCGTCTGAGCAATAAGGTCTTGACTGATTCTGCACTTTACATGGATGTAAAGTAAATCTACCCTGCTGTATATCTCACAGATTAGCTTCTGGCCTAGAAGAGGAAGGGGAGTAATTTTAATTTTTGCTCCTCCTGTGAAGCTGGATATTGCACAGGACAATTCAAGCATCAGTTGTTAGGCAAGTGCCCGGGAGTTGAACCCTCCCCCTCAGCGAGCTATTGTAGAGTGAATGGGGTCTTTGTTACATGGCAAAGAGATGCAAAAACAGTTCAACAACAAAGCATATGTGAAAGTGCAGCATTTATCATTCCTTCAAACTCCATGATTTAAGGAACTCCAGCTCATGATCTGGGATCTTCAAACTTGGCAGCACTTGGCGAAGCAGTAGTTCTCCACAGACCCTCGGTAGGGGTGCTGTGAGAGTACAATGGCTAAACACAAAGTCAGGCTTAGGAGTGAGAGGTCTGGGAGGGAGGCATGGGGTGCGGGGGGTCTGTATTTGTCCACAGCCTTGAAAGTTCTCGAGACCAGACCCTGCAGCAAGGCTCGGATTTGTGGTGGGTTTAAGGGAGGGATTTGGAAAGTGTGCTTTAATTTCAGTTTTGGAGTTCCAGGGTAGCCCCCTGTGAGGCACAGACACAAGCACTGCAAGTTCTTCTGGTTAAGAGTGACCACCCCCCATAATCCGTAATCTCTGCCAGCTAGGCAGGCTGCTCAAAAGCCTGCTCTATGTTTCATGTGCAGGTAGCAGGACCAGGATGAATGCACGAATTCAGCACAGCTGTTACGTGTTACCTGTGCCTTCTGCAGTGACAGAAGTGGCTGTGCTGAGGTTGGCTTCATCCCAGGAGTCACTTTCTCCCTCCTTCTGCACCTTTGTTTTCCTTCTCTTTATTCAGTTTCCTCAGCAGTGGTCCATGAGCCAATGTAGAGCCCAACTCTGCAGAGCAGGGTTTGTGCCATTTTTGTGTAAAAAGCCCTTTGCAGATACTGCAGCTTTTTTTGCTCTTGTCTCCTCCCTCCTTGCCTTTACCTCTGGCAAAGTCTGCCCTCGCTGATATCAAAAAGCAGAACTGGAGCTGGTCAGGCCTGCACCTGGTATTGGTACTTATTGGACCATTGGTTAGAGCTTGGGCTCTTGCAGAGAGGGAGGAACCCCACCTATCACAGCCAATGCCACGGTGTTTCTATCTTAGCAAAGCACAGACAATAGGTATGATAGAAGTCCCTGGAACAGAGGTTTATTGAGAAAACAACTGCTGCAGTGGTCACACACACACATGTACTCTGCCTGCTCCTACTGACCCCATGCCCATTGAGGAGGAGCTTGTTCACACACAAACCCTGCCCCAATTATATGTGTATGTGTAAAAACTGCACATATTTGTTCTATATTGTGACATGTTTGATCTATAGCGATTGCAATTTCTATGCCTGCTTTCTTAACATTTTGAAGGACCTAGAAGAGATGTTCTTTCTTGGATTTAAACTGCAGAACCCGTGCTGTCTGACTGCTAGAGAGCGTTTGGAGGGAGGGGGCTGTCTTCCAGGAGAATTTAAAGACTGGGGGGAAAACACTTTTGTACAAAACATTGTTTTTCTCTGGCCTAAACTTGTCCCTCTCTGCTTAGAGTGGGAGGTGTCAAACATCACACTCCTTTGTTTACCCTTCTCAAAATTGAGAGGCTGGGGTCATTCACCCTGCAGTCCTGGTGGTGTGCATCTAGTTTGGGATTGGCTCCGCTGCTTGAGCACCAAAGACAGCCTGCCTTCAGGGACACAAATCCAGCCTCAACTCCTCGCATGCCTCTTGCTTGTCTCTGGGCCAGGTGATTAATGGGTCTGTGGGCTGGGGAAAGATCTCACCACAGGGGTGCCCTACCGTAAGTTCCAGTGGGTGCAGGAGCCTGAGTGCCTCCTGGCCACCAGGAGCTGGTCACTGTGACAGCGATGGAGATGGGGCTGAGTTAGACGAATCATGCATGTCAAACCTGTGACTTTGTTTTTTGCTGCTCAAACACGCATTTCTTTCTGCTTGGGTTGATTGCTCAAGATGTAGGTTTCCAACCAGTGCTAAGTCTGGACCTTCAAAGGTGTTTCTGTGCCCACTCTCACAAAACAGCTGCTGGAGTCAGTAGGAGCCAGGACTCTCAATACCTTTGCTATTGTGAGCCTCTTGTGCTGTTGTGAGGTATCTGGCTGTTCCCTAGGACTTCTGTGGATCTATCATGAACAAACAAATGTCAGATGGGATCGTTCAGCAGGCACTGTCTGTACTTTCTGAAACCCATGGAAAGAAACGAAGGGCAGCTTAGCATCGGGCATTGATTCATTTTCTTGCTCCGGTTCCTGTCCACTTGTTTATTCAGGTGCACTTACATGTTTTTCTCAGCCATTGGCACCAGCAGCTCTGAGCTGGAAAATGCTCAGGGACAGGAGAAAAAGAAGAGAGAGGAGTTGTATCACCCCACTATGTGTTTGGTGATGTAAAATAAAGCCTCTAACTAGTTTCCTTGTTATGCATCAGTCTTTCCTAAAGAAAAGGGAAATATTACCAGGCCCTACATATTAAAGAGCTCAGTTTGGTACTGAAGGATAAATTAGTGGCTCATTTTGAGATGAAATGGCCATTGCAATAAAATAGAACTTTCTTATTTTAAGAATTAACAGTTTCAAGAACCAGCTTTTCTTTTCAATTATGGAAAGATACACAGGGCAAAGTGCAGTATAATCAGTGGACTAACAAGTATAAAACTAGCATGCAGAAAGAAGCTCCCAAACAAGATGCCTTAGAAACACCCAAGACAGTAAAGGACAGTGTTCTTTATGGTGACATGATTTAGTGGTGGATGTGGCAGTCCTGGGGTAATGCTTGGACTTGATGATCTTAGAAGTCTTTTCCAAGCAAGCTGATTCTATGAGTCTATGGAGTGTGCTCCCATCACCTAGGGCTAGAGCCACAGCCTTTTAGTAGCTTAGAGGAAATCCCCTAGGTCTCAAGTCATGCAGTTTTTGACTTTCCTGTCTGATGTTCAGTCCTCATTTCCACTGGTGAGTGCATGCATAGGTTGGCCCTGAACTGGACCATAGGGGACGGCATGATGTAGCTGGAGTGAAATGCAGCCTTTGGGTTTCCTATTCAAGATGAAATACCTGTAAGGCAGAGGTAAGTTGAGATCTCCAGCTCAGGCTGCTCTCTGTGCTCTCCTCCTGAGTAAAGGCAGCACTTTGCAAAGGACCAGGGCACTATTCATGATATACTTATATACATATATATATATATATGGTACAAAGCCTCATCTCCAGTTCAAGACTGAGGCGTGCCTTGGGAGCTACAGATGCCAAAAGCTTGGGGACAGAGTGACCACAAGAATTCACTGTGGGCTCCAGCTGAGTGCACATGCCAAGAGGTTGTGGGACAATCCAGCTGGAGGCAGAACAATGGGACTGGGGCTGCAACTGGCACAGGGAGCGGGGTCAGTGCAGTGAAGAGGAAACAGGTTGTTGCTTGGTAAAATAAAAAGCAAATTTGGCTGGATGATGCTTGCTCATCCACAGGGGAGTAGGAGAGCAGAGAGGCTGGAGTCCAAGAAGGCTTGGATTGGCTGGGGAACACCCTGAGTGGTACAACCCTATGCCTGCAGCACTATAAACACAGGAATGAGGAGAAGGAAGGAAACTTTGGGACTTCTTGTCTGCTTCCTGGGAGAAACAGCAACAGCAGCAGGTGGCCTGGAGACCTTGGAAGGAGAGAAGCTGCATCCTGCCTTCCCTCCTGACTGTCCTTCCAGAGGAACCACCTCTCTGCGGGTCTCCCATGAAGATGTGGACTCCCTTCCTCCTGAGCTGCCTGCTCTACACCCTGAGGATAGTGGCACAACCGTAAGTGCCATTTAAAAACCTGGTCACTGGTAGCTGTGATGCTGAGGAGGGGGCTAGAGTAGCAGGGGAGAGTGTGGGACCCCAGGAGTCATCTCCTGGAGGGGATAGGCATGGGGTGGTATATGCGGCATGTCACAAGCCTTTCAGGATCCTCCTGAAAGAGAGAACCTCTCTCATGGATATCACCATGTACAAGAGCTAGGTGAGGACTGGTGTTGGGAACAAGAGGAGTGAGGGACTGTGGTCTGAGGCAGGCTGAAGGGAAAGGTGTAAGATAAAGTGAAGGGCAAAGGGAAAGGGCTGCAGGGCTGGGGATGATCAAGCAGGCAGCAGTCTGCTGCCAAGGTAGTTGAGGAGCCATCTCAAGGCAAGAAGGGAAAATCCTTTTCTGTTTTCCATGTGTACTGGGAGCACCTAAATATGACTTGGCTGCACAACTGGGGCAGTAGCTTTTGCCTGCCCTGGAGTGATGGTGGTGGAGGGGCACCCCAAAACACAGGGGGATCACCTGCCATGGTGGACATCACTGAGGTGACACTCCTTGAGAGGCATCCCCCCCAAATGCTGAGGTTTCCCCAGGAGGGCGGGGGGACACCCCATGTCCTGTTTCACGATGCTAGAGGTGACACTGATGGAGCTGCTTCCCATTTTGGGTTTTCAGGTCACCTGAAACTGACTGTGAGAGGCTCACACTCTCATTGTTAATCTGTCCCTCTCACTCCAGCAGAGCATCACCACTTCCCCCAGGGAGGTGGAAAGCCCTCCTGCTTCCTCAGACCACAGAGTATTAGTGCCAAGAGTGGGTGAGATTACTCCCAGGATGTGATGCTTTATTTCCTCACTGCAGGAGGTACCTGATCATTGTTCCAGCTGCACTGCCCTACCCCTCTTCCCAGAGGGTGTGCTTGGACCTCCGTGGAGTGGAGAAGCCTATTCGTGTGGCCTTAACTCTTGTGCACCCATCTGGCAACCTCAGCCTCTACCGCAAGGTTGTCCGGAACAACTGGATCTTTGAGTGCTCCAGATTTCAGGTCAGGATCATTGCTGGCAGTGACCTCTAGCTGGCAGCTTCCACTGTGCTCTTTTGGCTCTCCTGTGAAAAGGATGCACTGTCACAGGGTGTCATTTGTGAATTGGGATGCAGGGAAAGCCAGAGCTTTCATCTCAGACAGCCTCCCATCATGTCTACTTTGCTCCAAGGTTCTCTTTAGGGCTGGGAAATGTGCTGGAAGACTGGGAAGTACATAGGAGGGTGCACACACAAGCTCAGTACCAGCCTTTCTGATATGTCAAACTCACAAACCTTATTTTCTATTATTTCTTCTTCATTATTCTTAATGCTTAAGAGTGAATTTCAGCCTCTGTGACCCACACACTCTAGGAAATGGATTTCTTATCAACATAGACCTTCTCTTCCCGGGGGTTGTCTTCTCCATCTCACTCCATGCAGGTTCTAGTAGCAGCCCTGTGAAGAGGCAGACACAATTTCTGTGCCAGAACAGGTTCTCTTTCCCTCATTTCCAATGTCTGTCCCACATGCTTCCATAGGCACAGCCCTCAGCCACTGAGGGGACATCCTGTGCTGGCCTTCAGAGCATGACTGGGGAGAGGCTGGCCTCACTGTGCAGCAGGAGCAGGGAGAAGAGCACTGCTCTGATACCATCTTGTCCTCTCCTACTGCCTGCTAACCTAGTGGCTCCTGTTTTGTGTCCTTAGGTCCCCCAGCCTGCAGGCAACCAGGAGGTGGGCACTGTCCATCTGCGCATCTCCAATGGCCACTACTTCAGTGTAAATGAAGAGAAGCAAGTCCTGATCCATAGAGCTGGCACAGGCACCTTCATCCAGATGGATAAAGCTGTCTATAACCCAGGACAGACAGGTGAGCACTGCATGGAGCACCTCGACAGTTTCCTTGCCTTGACTTGCCTGGACTTTGTTCCCAGTTTCCCATGAGCAGAGTGAATTGTGTCATGTGGCCTCCTTGGGTACAGAGGGGGAAGGCATCTACTGCCGTCTGGAGAGATGTACCTGTGCAGCATGATTTAGGGGTAGGAGGAGACTGGAAAGGTTAGTTTCACGTGCTCTAGGAGCAGAGATGAGTTAAGAGGGAGCAAACCCGAACATAGTCTTCTCACCAGGACTGGTGTGCTCACACTGCAGATGAAGGGAACCCAGATGTAGGCTGTGGGAAAGATGCGAGGCTGGCTGCTGGGCTGCTGCTACACATCTGGGGGAAGAGCTGGTGCGCAGGGCTGAGAAAGGAGTAAGGGGGGCTGCAGGGCAGGCGTGGGGCTGCTGGTAGAGCTGCGTGAGGAGATGTGATTCTGGGGAAAGGCAATTGCTGGGCAAGTCCATTCCTGGAAGCACTCAGTCTCTATAATGTGCTCCATTTTCTCCCTTCAGTGAAATTCCGGATCGTGACGCTGACCCAAGACTTTTCTCCTGTTAACAAGAAGGTAAAGCCTGTCTAAGTGGAGATGAGAAGTCTCTGGGCTCCCTATGCCAGTTCTGCCTCCTCTGCCAGCCCCACACTGTGGAGACTGAGACAACCCTGATCCCCGCACCTAGGGCAGCCAACACCAACCCCCTACTAAAGTGGGGACAGCGGCACCCGTTTGCCATCGGCTTTGCTGTCACTCTCATGGGACAGCTGCTGGCTGGTGGGAGGGTTGGTGCTGCTGGTGGGGAGTGTGCCAGCACCCCCTGCTAGCTGAGTTAGTACAGGGCAGCCCTGGAGCTGCATGAACCTGACCCTCCTTCCTCCCACCAGGGCTCCTGGGGACATCTGTGGGCTGCTGGCCGTGGGTGCAGTTACCAGATGGGTTGTGCACAGACTTGGCCAGACATAAAGCTCCCCTCCCACAGCACTGGGAAGCTCAGCGCTGTGTGGAGTGTGTTGCACCTAAGGGTGGCAGGAGGGTCAGAAGCAAGCTGTGATGCATCTGCACAATCTGAAGAAAACGGATACAGGGAAGGATATAGACGAAGTGATCATAAAAAAAAGAAAAGAGAGAAAACAGTATGACTAAATCATACTGGCTTGTTGCTGTTAGCAGCTCATGCTCCCTGCGTCAAGGGAGTGAGAAGTTGCCAGAGGCTTGCATATGTGTTAGCCAGGAAATCACAAGACTAACATCTTCCTATGGGAAGCAATTATACCTGCAGCCAGAAGCTGTGGCTATTTCACACTCCTCTGTCCTCAAGCAGTTTAAGGAATTCATGCCATGACAAATAAATACTGAAGGGTACACGTGAGCAGAAAGTTGGATCAGATCCTTCAAGGCTGAAATAAAGGGAGAGGTTCTCCCAGCTTCTTTATTGCTGATTTCATTTCATCTTTTTTTTGGGCTATAGATGAGGGCCTAGGATCACATTCTCCTTTCTAATATAAGAGATAAGGTTTATCTCTTATATTAGTTAGAAAACAGAGCAAGCAATGCATTTGTTTCCATGCCCAAAATTGGTTCATGATGACATTTGACCATAAATGTTCAATATCTATGTATAAGTAAATTAGCATTAGAAAAATGCTGTGATGAACATTTGAGAGTTCATGTTTAACCAAAGTTATTATGAGGCTTATGTGCACTGCAGCATTAAAGCTATAATACATTGTAAATTAGATGTTTTTTTCCAGCATCAGCATTAGATTCACGTTATGAAAATAGTTAACCTGCACTTTTGTTTCAATGGAAAAAGAGCTGCCTGTGATAACTTGCATGGAAGCTTAGGATGATGAATGTTGTGGATAATATGTGGCCTTCTGTTTACAGACAAATTACTCTCCCAAGCTCCTGTTCCTGCCTCCTTATGCCATGTGCTCCCGAATCATGTCCTTCACCACTGCTGCTTCCTGGTAGCTGCAGTGATATAAGAAAAATCATAGAATTAATAGGCCTCAAGGGGCTGAAGTATGTCTTTCTTTGTCCCTCCCTGTTACTGTCAGCTGCAGTCATCAGTAATTCACATCTCCTAGTCTTACCTACTAGGCCAGAGATTTTACAGGAAAATGTGGGGTGTATTCTTCCTATAGGTGATGCAGGTTTTGCTAATTTTTGTGATTAATGTTACAAAATGTATGCCTTTTAATATTATGAACTTGGGATGATAGTATTTGTGAGTCTCTCTATTTTTCTTCTTTTTTAAATAACAAATTCTAGCTTTCACAGCTGTAGAGTTCCTATCAAAGTGCGTCTTAAACATTCAAAAGCAAATCCAAAGAATAGCAACATAAATATTACATATTTTCCTTACTGCTTCAAAGTCATTCTCTTGGTTTCAGTAGGATCAAGCTCCTTCTATTATAATGTTTGGGACTGGTGATGTTGTCATAGTATATGGGCTGGGTGGGTAAGATAAGTTGATATGAAGGTTGCTTTGTTATGCCAGTGTCTGACATTGCTGTCTGTTTGCTTTGCAGTACTCCGTGGTGGAAGTCCAGGTGGGTGCTTCAGACTCCTCAGGTACTACGAGGAGAGGTACTTCAGTATGGATAATACCTAGGCCACTGTCTTACTGATTCAAGTTCCTTTTCTTAGGGTCTGTGTATACACATGCACATGCATACTGTGCCACATTCTTCCTGTTAACAAGCCTTGACAATCCAAATGGATCAACTTCCATCCATTTCTACATACAGAAATGCCCAGGCTTCAGCTAACTCTTACACTTCATCTTTATGTAAGGCTAGAGAGTCCAAATATCAGGACCTTTCATAACTACTTTATCAGTGGCAGTACAGCGTAGAGTAATCCTGGGTGGGTTGGGTTCACCCATTCTGTTTGTGCTTCAGCACTTGAGTCACTTCAGCACCATCTGGGAAAAAAACAGCAGGAATCAGTGAAAGCCTCTGAACCCTGATGGCTGCCTCTTCTTTCCTTCCCTTGAACTGCAGGACCCAAACCACAATCGGATTGGCCAGTGGCTGGATGTGAGACCAAAACAGGGCATTGCAGATCTCTCTTTCCAGTTAGCTGATGAAGTCTCTCTGGGGACCTACACCATCAGTGTGGTGAACTCGAAAGTGTCCAGTACCTTTAAGGTGGAGAAAAGGGGTAAGATGGAGTGTGGAGAACAAAAAATAGGGTGGGAAAATTTGCATGTTTCTGTCTGCATAACAATATGTAGCCAAACATCGTGAACTGTTATTTACTGCCTGAAAGCTAGGATTAAACACAATCTATAGAGTGGGCAACACCAGAAATGTACACAGGGGAGACTGTTCTGGAGGTTCCTGGAGAAGGTATCTGCTAACAACTAGGCTGGCACAAAGTGAGAATACACTAAAGACCTCTGCAAGACTGTTCATATGTTGGGGGGGGGGGGATGGAAAGGGGATTCTTTCTTTGGTTTCCCTGTTGTTTGTTAGTCCTTCTTTTACCTCATGAACCTGTTCTTTCATGGGAACCCAGCGTTACAGAAACCCAATCTTCCCTTTTGTCATTCCATGTCTACGTAGCCTGTAGCCTTTGATGGAGTAACTCTGTATTTTTGTTCCAGTGTTGCAAAAGTTTGATGTTTTCTTCGAGGGACCAGCTCAGATTTATGCTACAGATAGAACTTTCCCACTGCGTGTGTGTGGCAGGTAAGGAGGATGTTCAGGGGAAAAGAAAGAGCTCAACAAAACTGTGTCTCTCTTTCTGTGTGTCTTCTTTCTCTTAAATCCGTCAAGAAGGGCCAAACAGAGTCATTCCTTTTGAGGAACCCCAAATACTGTAAAAGTCAAACTGATGGGTTCTTCCTTAGGGAAGTGGTACATGAGCTACACGGGAAAGACCATCCAGCTATAGGGAGACTTGTCCTAGGCAAGCTCTGGAAGCTGTCTGTCCAGCCTCAAGAGACCTTATGTGGGGAAAACCATGTATCTGATATGGGACTGATCTGCTGAGGTAAAGGAGCATGAACTGGTGTTTCTTTATAAGGTTATGCTGTTCCCTCTCACATGCTACTGAACCACCTTCTTAGAAGCAGCAGGTGGGTTTCTCTAGTTATACAGCCGTTAGCAAAAAGTGAGCAGATGAGGGCTGAAGGAAGGCATGATCTCAGATGGCATAAGCATGAAGGAAGAAGGAGAATGATCTGGAAAGCACTTCGGAGGCAGATAAAGGAGGTGAGCTCAACTGAGGCTGGTGGTAGTCCAGAGACTTTTGGTATCCCATAGCTGCTGATGTGACATAATTTCTCATTAATGGGGACATTTAAAATCAGACCATATGAAACTCTACTAGGAAACAGCACAGCACTCTGCATCCCCATGGTGGGTCATCAATGCCTTCTTGTTACTGATACTGTCAGGAGTATTGCTCCAAAGGGAAAGCCAGAGAGAAGTCAAAGCAAGGAAAAGCAGCAAGGCAGGAAGGGGAGATGTGTGCACTGACAAGGGCGCACTTCTGCTGTACCTTGCAAACAACAGCAGAGCAGGTCTGATGGTGGAAACAAGAGTCCAGACCATGAGATAAGCCCATGGTGAGACAAGTCTGGGATCACTCTGGGCTTAATTACTGCCATACCCTGCATTTGCTGTTGCTCTCTGCAGGTACATGGGTTTCTGCTGCTTTCACACCTGAGCTAGCATCTTCACTGTGCTCTGCACTGTGTGGGCACATCAGCTCAGGTCAGCTGTCTGTGTGCACCTGCAGCTCCAGGAAGCAAGCAACCAGAAGTGGGAGACCTTTGGAGAGGATGGGTCCTTTCCTATCTGTGTTTTGTTTCTGCCTCTGTTGGACACAGAGTTGTGCTATTGCACTCCCTGACCAGACAGTGTACTGTATTTTCATTTATGCCTGCCTGCATGCCACCTGCATTAAGACCTTCATCAGGAAGGCCACCTATGTGGAGCAAAAAACACAGCTCATCTGCTCAGCAGCTCCTCTGGTGTTCTCCTTGCAGGTACACCTACGGGAAAGCAGTGCAAGGGACCATGAGGGTCAGTTTGTGCCAGAAGGCAAGGAGGCGTCTTCAAAATTCCAGCAAGGACATCTGTAGGGAATACAGCGGTCCGGTGAGTAAAATCCTGGAAGATACATGGGTAGTGAAGGAGCTCCACACAGAGCTAAGTGTCAATTGGTAAACAGGATGAACTGCTATGTAGGGAACATTTGCCAACCTCTGTAATGTATAGGTACACTAGTAAGTAAATGTTTTCACTCAATGAATGCAGTTGTTGCTGCCCAGACCAACAGAGAAGCCTTTACTCCCCAGAAATTCTTCTCTGCAACTTCGTTAATGATAAGGCTTGGAAAAGAGGAATCTCACAGAGAGATATGTTTTTTTTTTTTTCTGGAAAGAAGGGTAACTTGCCAGAAATAAATAGAGCTTTTTTAGTTGCAAAATCACTGCATTAAGGGGAACCTATCTTGGAGCTGCACAAGGACACTAATGTATGGTGGAGACCTGGGTAACTCCATAGCCAAATCACACAGTAGCTTTTATACTTTGTTTTCTCTTGTTATATATTTACACATTGTGTATTTTTATACTTATCCTATTACATCTTTCCATTCCTAACAAAGTAGTTCATAGCTGGGCTTATCCCTACATATATAGTTGAAAACTTTCCATGCTTTGTCATTTTTTCATGCTTTGTCATTGTGACTCATTACTGTAGTTGTAATCTCCCAGCTTTGGTAATGATTCTTTACTTTGAATTTTTATTTGATTCTGCAGTTCTTCTAGCTGTATTTATTAAAATTCTCATAACTTTGCTCTGTGAGCCAGTTAGTTCGGTCTTCAGTTTTCTACTAAAGCTGGAAGGTTGCCAGCATTGTAACTGTGATAAAACTGTGATGTGTGTTTTGCTTTATATTACACCAATATGAATTGCACGTATTCATGCATATAAAATAGGAAATACAGAATTTAAAATGTGAACCGTATCTATCTATATACGTGTCTGCATTATTGTTACAGTCCACAGTTATGATGGAAGTACCTTTTACCTTCCCTTCTCCCCAGTCCCAAATAATATCACTTCCTATTGCAGACTGCGAGCAAGGGGTGCTTCATGCCTTCTGTAAGCACGTCAGTCTTCAATCTGGCTCCTGGTGAGGAAGACGGCAAGCTCTACGCAGAAGCCTCTCTCACGGAGACAGGCACAGGTACCCAGGAGCTCAGCAGAGGAGGTGCAAGGGTGTGAGAGACCATTCTAGGGGTGTGATGGTCAGGGTGGGTGCACCTCTGCCTCTCCTCCACCGGTGCTGGGACCATCGCAGGACACGAGAGCAGTCCTGCCCGAGGAACTTGCTGTGCCTACAGAGCTGCTCTGTCAGCAGCAGGTGGGTGAGGTGTGGTTGGGAGCGTGGTCCATGAGGCCAGAAAGGGGCGTGGGGACCACTAAAGGAGTTACCACAGGAACAGCCCTCAAACCTTGAAGGGTGATGCTGTTGGGGAAGGAAGTTTGAGACACTCTGCTTAGAGGGGCTGGGAATAACAAAGTGAGATTAAACTAGAGTGCAGTAGTCACCTCCAGTGCTGATCCTGCTTCTGTTGCACTCTGCGTTCCAACAGGGGTGCAGATCAACACCTCCAGCCAAATCCTCATCTCCAGGACAGCTGCAAGGGCAGTGTTTGAGACACCAAATGCATATTACATCCCTGGAGTACCCTATAAAGGGAAGGTGATTTTTTTTTTTCCCCATCTTCTTCCCTACCATCATTTGCCAAGGAATTTAGTGTCTAGGAAATTTTGCTGACCCAAAACATTTCCTATTCCCCAGACAGAGTGTTTTACCTTGCAGTGTGTCACGTTACTTGACAGCACAGCTCCGGTTTCTGCATTTCAGATTCCCTGATGTGTTTACCTCTCCAGCTTCTGCTGAGAGGGATAAGTGATGTCTCAACAGGGATGCTGGGATACAAGGATGCCTCAGCATGAGCTGCTCATGCTCTAGCCACAGACACCTTTTGGAGTGGACAGGTTAACTCACCTTAACTTTAGAAATAAGGGAGTTTTATAGGTCTCCTGTGTTCTCTGTAGTCTTCTTGGGGCCAGACTGAAGTTAAGGCCACCTACTCAGGAGGCTCTATGTTTGCCAGAGGGAGGAAGGTTTTGGGTATGACACTGGAAGAAATATCTGACTTTGGGTTTTCTGCCTCATTGTGTTGTCACCAGATAAAGCTTCAGGATCACTATGGAAATAGTATGAAAAACAGAAAAGTTTATCTTGTGATAAAGTTCATGAGGCGTCGGTTTATCAAAACGTACATCACAGATGGAAGTGGAACAGCATCATTCAACCTAGACACAACTGCTTGGAACAGCTCATCAGTCTCTTTGGAGGTAAATCCCACCTCTGCGTATGGGAAAGTGAGAATTCTTGATCTCTGCCGGTGATCCCCACTCCTGCCCTGCAGCCCCCTGCCAGCTCAGGCCTGGGCAGAGCCAGCAGGAAGGCACCAAGCAGCAGCCTTTCCCAAACCAAGCTGATAACATCAAAGCACTGAAGCTGTCATTAAGCTCTTGATTTCTGTGTGTCTCTGGTCCCCTTTCAGGGAAGGTTCACACTAGAGGATCTCTCACACATGCCTCGAAAAACAGACGTCAGTTACACAAACGCTTTCCATCACCTGCAGCCCTTCCATGTCACAACCAAGAGCTTCCTGGACATACACCCACTCACAGAAACCCTGCCCTGTGAGCTGAAGCAGAATGTCCAGGTGACCTTCACGCTTAGCCGGGATGACCTGGGTGAAAACACCAGCCGCATAGGTTTTGTATACTATGTGAGTAATAGAGAACCCGGGGGGGGTGGGGGGAAGGCTGCGCTAATGCAACCAGACCCTAATGAAATGAGGGTGTAACTTAGGTCATCACTGGAGGAATGACAGGAAAAACCTGCTCTTGGAGAATGGGGTGAGCATTACACCCTATATAGCTCAGCCTGGAGGTCCTGGTATCAGGGCCCCAGTCACCTCCATGGGTGGGAGGAGGCTTCTGCTTTTGCAGCCCATCACACGCTTAGCCTCCACCAAGGCTGCATATTCTGCTGTCAAACTCTTCTCCCTTTAAAACTAGATGGAGCATCACTTTTTCACTCTGGGTATCAAACAGATGCTCAGCAGAAATGGCTTTTGGTCCAGTCTGGAGACCTGCTTACTAGAAGGGTAACACCTGAACTGTCTCTCGCTTATCTCCAGTGAGCCCACTACCCATCCATTGTCCTAACTGGACAGACCAGACCAGAATATCACATGTTAAAGCTTCTCCTCCCACACTGTGATTATCTGTAAATCTGCTGGTCCCGAGGTGGGGGTTGAGTTGGATCCACAGTTTATTTCTGAGGTTGCTTAGGAGAGCAAGATGCACATGGTGAGTGTGACTGTGCTCCAGCGGCAAACAGCAATGGGCTCATTGCAAGTCCCTCCTCCTACAGGTCACTGGGAAGGCTGGAATTGTTGTCAGGGGCCAGAGGACTGTCCAGGTTGGGAAGCTGAATAGTAAGTCTGCGGCAGCTGGACAATTCTAGGCTGTACAGTGAGAGTTGCCAGGGTGTCTCCCAGATTCCCTGAATCTAGGTCATGAACAGGGCTGGGGGGGGGGGGTGAGGTGCTGTGGAAGCAATTGTGTCAGCTGGAAGAGGCTGAAAAGGCAGAATGAGGGGTCAAATGATGGGAAGAGGGACTGGGAGGAACTGTGGGAAGATGGGGCACATGGGATCAGAAATAAAGGGAGAGGGCTGACAGAGCAGCAGGAGGAATTGGTTTGACATTGTGGGATTATGAAGCGGGAAAAAGGAGGAGGGCAGAAGGAGATCTTGGTGGGGCTGTGGTGAAAGCACTTTGCTTTTCCTTCCTTAGTGTTGAAGGGCTCCTTCTCCATCCCTTTGACCTTCACTGAAGACTTCACCCCATCACCTTCCTTAGTGGTGTATGCTATCTTCCCCAATGGAGGGGTAACAGCCGACAGCATCCGTTTTGATGTTGCCTTGTGCTTTGAAAACAAGGTGAGACTCACTCCTGCAGCTGGGGGAAAGCTGACAAGCAGGGATCAGCAGGCCTGAGGGGACAAGACCCTCAGATCCTTCAAAGAGAGAACTGGGGAGAAGAGAGAAAGGTGATGAATGCAGCACAGTGACCGCGGACCAGGAAAGGTTCAGCAGTGGCTTCTGTTCCTAGCAGTGGCTGAGCAGGGCAGACTCCAGCCAGTCGCCCTTTTAGTGTCTGTGCCACCTCTCTGCCAGTCTCCTCACTCCCCTTTCTCTCTTGTTCACATTTCCTTTCTTGGTGTGTTGCTCAAGGTCCAGGTGGGTTTCACAGCTAAAGAAGCCTACCCAGGGTCAACAGTGCAGCTCCAGCTGCAGGCAGCCCCCGGCTCCCTGTGTGCAGTACAGGCAGTGGATGAAAACATGTTCCTTGTGAGACCAGAGAGCGAGCTGACAAGCCAAATGGTGAGTGTCTGTGCAACCAGACAAAAACCAGGAGTGATGGACAAGCTGCGGGAGGCGGGAAGGGGCTGTGGCAGGGAGAACCAGAGGCTAATGGATGAAGAGGTCTTTGTATGGAGCAGAAAGTGGGGTTTGCCTGGGAGATGGCCAGGAACAGATATGTATTCTACAGGAAGGTATAGTGCAGCATCTGGAGGTATCTGCTCCTTGCCTAATTCCTGCCTGACTGTGATTTTCCCTAGGTCTATGGTTTGTTCCCTACTGCCTACCGACATGGATACCCTGCCCAAGTAGAAGAGTATTCAGATCGCTGTGTTCAGCCCCAATCCGCAACATCTCTGCTAGGGGGGAAGACACAGCATTCCTTTCAGCCTGACATCTTTAACCTCTTCCGGGTAATCATCTTGTGATTTTTCCCCACAGCTATTGAAATTATGGGCATTTATCTCTCTCCCCCATCAGTCTGAGTAGGCCTTGCCTTCTTCAGACAGCCCCTGCTGTCTGTACTGACAGCTATGCTGTCTCAAGGGATGTACAATCCCATTACGAGTATTCGCCTCCACAGATGAAGAAAACAAGATCTTGGACCAGTAAACTCCAGCTTTCTGGCTTGGGAGTGAGGTCCTGGGCTGTGTACTGTTTGTTTTAAGTATTAGAGAAAAGAGAGACAGGGAGTGACCCAAGCATTAGATCACAGATAGCTGACATGGCTTAGTTGTTAGCCTGCTCTCTGGCACTATTTTTTTGGGATGTTCTCAGGCAGATTTCTTGGTGTCTTTAAGGCATATCATCTCTAGAAAGGACTAGCCTTAAGCAGCATGGACGCAACACAGGCAGTGCCATTTGGCCTTGGACCTGGGGATCAGACCCTGTCCTCTTTTATTTAGTGATAGAGATGCACCCTAGGAGGCTCTTGCACGTCATAGAGACATCTCTTGTGTTTGTGTACAGGCCCATGTCACAGCCTTGGGAGCTGAATGGGGATTTCATCCAGCTATTCCCTCCAGCATGCATTAAAGGATGGGGTAGGACATTGGCACCTCTTTTCTGTGCCATTGCCACTGGAAATGCATTAAAGGATGGGGTAGGACATTGGCACCTCTTTTCTGTGCCATTGCCACTGGAAATGCATTAAAGGATGGGGTAGGACATTGGCACCTCTTTTCTGTGCCATTGCCACTGGAAATGCATTAAAGGATGGGGTAGGACATTGGCACCTCTTTTCTGTGCCATTGCCACTGGAAATGAGTTGAGATGAACAAGACATCTGAGTGTTCCCCAGAAGAGAGTTGGTGGTTTAGTGACCTCCTCCTCACAGATGCGTTACTGCCTCCCTTGTCCTCCTTCTTTTCCTAACAGAACATGGGGCTGAAGATCTTTTCAAACCTTGTAGTCAAGAAGCCGCCTCAGTGCTTTCACCAGGCAGATAAGAAGCCAGCCATGGGTGAGCTGTACTTTCAGCCTACCTGGGACATGTGATCACCCAGGTGGAAGAGCACTCTGGGGTTTGCTGGTGAAGTTTGGCTCTCTGAAGAGCAGCAGGAGTGATACCACAGCTCCTGTTGGAGCAGCATTCCTGCTGCCCAGTCCACCAGCCTCAGCAGGAATGACCCAGTCCGTATAAAAAGGGTTCTGAAGAACATCAATACCTGACACTGAAAGATGGCATTCCTTTCCTGGCACAGACAAACCCAAATATGGGCCAGTATCTATTTCTAAGTGACTACCCCACAGGCTGTGTGTCCTTCCCCACCTGCATCCTCAGGGACAGTCACTTCCTTCCTCTGTGTCTGAGTTTGCACTAGGTAATCATACTAAGATGGCTTACACACCTGCTGATATTGAAATCATTGCCTGCAGAGAGTTGTGAGTATTCTGCAGACCAGCAAACAGTATTGTTATTCACAGAATTACTGAAGTGTTGGTTAAAATGGCTCTCTGATGATCCCTTGTCTCTTTAGCACCAATTCTGGGTCAGGTCAGCAAGGGGCTTTGTCTAACCAAGTCTTGGAAAACTTGCAACCAGCTCACTGCAAGATGGTTCTTCTGTTTTCACTCTCTTTTCCCTTCCTATTTTCCCCCCTTTACCACATAATCCCACTCCCTTGTGTTTTCCTCTGCCAGACTCTTCCCATGTCTCTTTTACTGCTTGCTTCGCCTCTTGCCATTGTGCTAGGATGTCTACCATTGGCAGGGATCACTTCTCCCACTTTGGTGGGACTCCTTATTCTTTCTTTCAGGGGGACTTCCTACAGAAGACCAAAGAATCACTAAGGAACAACCCCAATTTACAGCCCATGGAAGACTTCACCACTATTTCCCTGAAACTTGGATCTGGAATCTGTTCTCTGTTGGGTAAACGATATACGACTTTACAAATGGTCAGAAGGGTGATCCCTTTGATATTGAGTCTTGGCTGACTTGCCTTGTGCAAAAGCCCAGCCATAGGTGTAAAAAGAGGTCTACACGTGAGTTTCCTGGCTCCTTCCTGCACTTGTAGTGCGTCAAACTGAAGGACTAGTAGACTCTGAGGTGCAGCACTGAAGCCTACACAAGTTTAGGGAAGAGCAATACTCTTTCAGACCAAACCACCAAGTGCCACTGGGTGCACTCTACTAACCTCTCAATTTGGTGGGTGCACCAGCTAAATTTGTAGCCCTTGTTCACAGTACTTAGACTAAGACCGATGAATAAGCACTCAGGAGAATATGGTGCTGCTGCTTTCCAGATGTCATGCTGTTGACTGACACCATGCTGCTGAGTGCATGCAACTGGAATGCTTGGATAGTGTCTTGCTCAGAAGAAGAGTATGAAGGCATTGCTGATGTCATTTAGGCAGTGTTTAAATGACTCTAGTGAACAAACTGCTCAGAGCTGCCTTGCTGTGAGCCACTGGAACATAAGTCATTGGTGATTTAGCAGAGGTTGATCCAAGCATGAGGATCAGCAACACCCTCCTCACCCAGGGCCATAGGCCCTCCTCATTCCAGTGGAATGGGATGAATTTCTTCATGCAAGTGCTCTTTTCCTCTCAGCTCCAATGGCAGCAGGAGTGTCCTGGTCACAGCACCTGCTGCTGCTGCAGCATGGAAAGTCAAAACATTCTGCTTGTCTGGGAGGGGATTTGGCCTTGCCCCGACCACGAGCCTCAGAACAGTCCAGTCCTTCTTTGTGGATGTGCCACTGCCATATTCCGTCATCCGAGGAGAGACCTTTGTGCTGAAAGCTACCGTCTTCCACTACCTACAGCAGTGCATGCAGGTGTGTGCCCGTGTGGGGCAGATCTCCCATGCCATGTAGTTGTAGAGCGCATTGTACCAAGCTGTCTCTCCTGACTTGCCAGTTACTCACTTGCATCTGTCATTCCCTTAGATCAGTGTGGCCCTGGCTAAATCCTCAGACTTCCAGGTAGAGCCGTGCCGGACCTGCAGGGATAAGGAGTGTCTGTGCGCAGAGGAGTCCAAGACCTTCTTGTGGAATGTGACAGCAGTGCAGCTGGGTATGGCTGAGAAAATGGGGCTGGTGGTGGAGAACCCTAAAACTGAAGTGAGGAGGAGTGGGAGGTGCAGAGAAACTGACAGAGCCTTGCATCCCTTGGATCCCAAAGTTTGTTCTTAGTGGCTCAAGCATGTGATCCATTATGTCTTCTTCCTTTCTCTCTCCTTAGACAGGCTAACCAGAGAGGACAGGAACTAAATAGGTGGCATGGAAAACTCTCAAGGAGAGAGCTGTAGGACCAGCTGGGGAGGAAGGGACTGCATGAGTGTGTGTGTGGGAACATTGTATTGCTGGTGCTGTGCTTCAGATGCAATGAGAAGGGTACAATGAGATCCAGTGGTCTTTTGGGCCTTTTGCTGTTACAGTCATATTGTAGTGTGATGAAGTCATCTGTTAATTAGGTGACCTAGCTCCTTCATGCTTGTGGTGTCTGAAAAAGCCATTGGTACTGGCTGGCTCACCTTTTTACCAGCCAAATCGCTGAGGCCATGAAGACCAGCTACCCCAAGCATCTCAGACCGCTCTCAGTTAACTCAAGTTGACTCTAATTGGCCACAGATATAAGAAACAGGCTCTGTTCAATTTATTTGCTAGGGACTTTGAATATCACAGTGAGGATAGAGGTACTGGACACCACGCCACGCTGTGGGGGCAAGAAGCCCTTGCCATCTACCCTGAAGCGGAGGCATACACTGGTCAAACACTTGCTGGTCCGGGTCAGTATAAGAGTGGGCTTGCTTCTCTCTCTGGGTAGCTCTGCCCCTGGGGGAAGGGAGGCTGAACTCACCTAAATGGTTTTGGCTCCTCATTTTTTGGCCAGCGTTAGCATACCAAGGATGGGGCTCAGTTTGCCTTGTTCCCCCCAGGACTAGCCAAGCCTATTCCCTTCTTGTGGTACTCCTTCTTGAGCTACATTCATATATCATGTCTGTGTTTCTCTGTGTGTTTCACTGCTCAATCAACCATTGAACATGAGAGCCCCATCCCTCAGGCTTGCTCTTGCTCTCTTGAGCATGAGGCTTTGGCAGTGCAGGCCTGCCAAATGCAAGGAGGATGGAGTCCCTGACAGCCTGGGGACTAACCACTGAATTGAGACTTGAAATTGCTCCGAAATTTTGGGAATTTCATGTGTATTCTTGTTTCTCCTGTCTGATGTTCATGCTCCTGCCCTGGCAGCCAGAAGGTGTGTTAGTGGAGAAGTCTTTCAGCTCCCTTCTGTGCCCAAGAGGAGGTATGTGGACAGCCTGAACGGGTTCTGCAGCCTGAAATAACCAGAACTGAGAATAGAACAACTAAACTGTGGGAGGTCTGATGGAAGAATTCTCAAATGATTTTCCACATAGCAAATTTTGCTTCCTTTTAGACAAGAAAGAACAAGAAATGTTACTTCTACATGGCTGTCCTACTGAATTTGCCACTGAGTATAGGTCCTAAAATCCTGCTCTGTCATCTCCTTCCCATACTGCAGCCCCTGGGCATTCCTGGGCTTGACAGTCACCAGTGAGAGCTGCTCCAACCCTCCCACCCTGTCCCTGCAGCACTGAAGGTCTCCCCAGGATGAGACTCAGCTTAGCTGCTGAGTGATGACCAGCTGTGATTCTTGTGGAGTGCATTGAATTGAGTTGTGAAGCTCAATCAGCCCTCAGGCCACCCAGCAGCTCTCATGTCTCTTCTCATCTGAGAAGTTTCCAGGCAGTAGAGTTTTTTGTAATGACTGGAACAGACTGTAAGGAGCAGTCAGTATGAGCAGGATGTAGGCAGTGTCCCATTCATCTGTGCCAGTATTGTTCTTTAGTTAGATGGATTTGGCTTGATTTTTTCATGCTACACACGTTTCTTTCAGGAAACATGGCTGAAGAACCGGTGTCCCTTCACCTCCCTGAAAATGTAGTAAAGGGATCTACCAGGGCTTTGATTTCCATCTCAGGTAGGTGATTCCTGCTGTGGGCTCACTGGCTGCTGTTACAGATGAGCAAGGCTTAGCTTGGTGATGGTGTCAAGGGATACATCTGACATGAAACTGCTCCAAAGAGAGGATGCTGTGTTTCTTCTCTGCAAGGTTTGCCAACACCAGGCTTTCAGATTTTTGGATTAGCACTTAGGATTTCATGACAAAAGTAAACTGCAGAAGAGAATAATCCTTATTTGGCTAGATAGAACTTTGGAGCAGAGATCCTAGGTCTTTATTTTTAATGGGACTTTGAGAACTTGCCTAATGCTCTGTAAATACATTCAGCAAAGCTCGTAACCATCTTGTCTCTCTGTTAAGATTTGCTGCTATAACAAAAGCTTCTGGAGAGAAGAAATCATTTTCAGCATTACTAAGTTGCAAAGTAACACTTTGGAGAGGCTATGGGACCAGATATACCTACAGTTCAAAACACTTATTGCACTGGGCTCATTTGCCCCCATACCAGAATTGATATGAAGCTAGGCCTGGCATAAGTAGCCATGGATATTATGCAGTAGAACCCCAAAGGGATAAACTGAATACTAACATTTTCTGGCTGGCTGGAGGACATATAGACATCTTCACACCATCTGACTACCACCCCTGCTAACTTACTGACATTTTGACTCTTGACATATGGCCAGGTAGAACAGGGCTGGCTAAGGACCAGAAACATGTCAGCCTTTCCCTAAGTGCTTTAATATGTCTGTCTGTGTGACACACACTGAGCAACTGCAGGTCTGTTCACAGCCTTTTACAAATAGTACTCGTTATGGTTGGAGCCCTTCAGACTGCAAAGGGAAAGCTCCTCAGGAACTCCATGGTGTGGTCATCCTGCACCATGATGCAAGACTGGGAAATGGCAAAACAGTCGCTACTCTCCATCCTGCACTCTCTTGTTCACTCCTCTTTCCTCCTCCCTCCAGTGTTTTCCTCATGTGCTGAGAGAATTATCCACTACCTGGCTGAGAAACACCTCAAATCATGCTTACACTTGCTTTGTTTCTCATACCCTTGCATAGGTGACCTCATGGGGATGGCACTGCAGAACATGGACCACCTGGTGCAGTTGCCCCACGGCTGTGGGGAGCAGAACATGGTGCTGTTTGCCCCCATTGTCTATGTGCTGCAGTACCTGGAGAAGACGAGGCAGCTGACCCTTGAGATCAAGGAGAGGGCGACAGGATTCCTGCGCAATGGCAAGTACAACAGACCCACCTTGCTCCTCTGCCTTCCCCAGTGTCCAGTCTGCCCACAGCTCTTGCCCTTGCACTCACTTTGTCAGTGCTGGCCCCTCTGTGTTACTGTGTTGGGCTAATCACTGTTCCCATTCCTTAGGGTACCAGATGCAGCTTCTTTATAGGCACAGAGATGGGTCCTACAGTATCTTTGGACAGCAGGATGGGGAAGGGAGCACTTGGTAAGCACTGCAAATATCCCTCACTCCTGATTTTAGCTGTGTGGGCCAGAGCAGCTAATGTGCCTGGAATACTGTTAGGATGTGAGACCCCAGGAACTCTGGCAGGGAGACAGACTGGGGGACTTGAGCCACTTGAAAAAGCAGCCAAGCAGGCCTGGGGAATTTCTGGGTAAATGGAACAGCAAAGATGTGGTCCCAGGGAGTAGGAGGTCGCTTTTCATCTCTGTGGCCATGCTTTGCCCCACAGACACCACCACCTAATGCTGTTGGTGTTCTGGCAGCCAAGGTACATCCTGTCCAGTGGTAGATCAGGGAAGAGCAATAAGAAACTATCATCTCCCCAGGGAGGGAATTGCTTGGGAGAGTTTGAAAGATCTGCATTGGCCCAGCTTGACCCTGTGGTGTCTGGGCTGGGAGAAATAGAGAAAGGAAGGGAGGAAGAAAGTGGGAAATTCAAGATTGTCTCAAAGTTTTTGAGGGAGATGAAGTGCAACAGATGAAAGTAGAGGGGCAAGAGGTTTTTCACCTGTGAAATGACTGGATAAAGTACATGCATAGTACATTTGTAGAGTCAGACTGCAGGTCCTGTGAACCGTTTCCACTTTAAGCTCGCCTTTCTGTACAAAAATGACTCGTTTTGCACACCGCTATGTCAGTGTTAACTTCAGGGGCATGCACCAGGAGGCTTTTGACTTTATCTTTGCCTTTTTTGTGTTTCTCTTTCTTTTGCAACTCGTCCTCTTCCTAGGTTGACAGCTTTTGTGGTCAAGAGTTTCAGCCAAGCCAGAAAATACATCTATGTAGATGACAGGAATGTCCAGGATGCCATACGCTGGCTAGAGAAAAAACAGCTTCCCAGTGGCTGCTTTGCCACCAAAGGGAGCCTCTTTCACTCCTTCCTAAAGGTAAATGAGGGCCAAGCCAGGTAGCACAGCTGGGAAATGGCTGGGTGGATGTTGTGACAGCAAAAGATAGTGTGATCCCAAAGGATCCTGAAAAGTCGCTCCTGCAACCTGTGCAGCCAGCCTTAAAGAGAGCAGGTTATGGGGCTGGGAATGTGATACCCTCCTGTGGAGTCACTGCCAATCAGTACTTAGGGTGAAAGGTACATTCCCTTCACAGGGCAGCGTGGATGATGAGATTTCCCTCGGGGCATATGTCGCTGCAGCACTGCTGGAGCTGGGTCAGCCACTGAAGGTGAGCACGCTCCTGCTGCTCCTGCTCTCCTGTACACTCCCATGCCTAGGCACTGCTCAGCCCATAATTCTGTCAATCTCCAGGCCAGGAACAGGTAGGGAACTGGTGTGAGGGAGCCAATATTTGGGCAAACTGTCAAGTCCTTCCTCAAGAGAGACAACACTGTAAAACTGGTATGGTGCAATAGTGTTTGGTGGCTAGGGCTCCCAGCACACACTGGGCCTGAACTGATTGTTTCCTCAAGTGACTGTGCAATCGAATATGTTTCTCTGGAACTACATCAGGAAGACATAACCTGGCTCCCTGGAATGAGCACCCCTGCCCCTTTTTTGCCCCTGTCAGATTTTGGCATGTGTCTCTTCTCCCAATGCAGGGCAAGCTGATGCAGGCTACCCTCCGCTGCCTGCAGCAGGCAGTTCATAACATCACCGACATCTACACGGAAGCCCTGCTGGCTTATGCCTTTGCCCTGGCTGGGGACTATGAGACAACGCAGGAGCTGCTGTACAAGCTGGAGGAGCAGGCCATCAAATCAGGTGCTGACTGCTCTTTGGGGTAATGCTTCTTGTTCACTCCTGGGATCTGGAGTAATGTGTGGTTAAGCTAGAGTGGTTAAAAATTATGTATGTATTTGTACATATTTGAGTAGTAACTGCACTGTGACTGAGAAGGGTGATTTATCAGGAAGAGTTTCCTCAATGGGAAGATTCCAGGGCCCTCTTGAAGCAGGAGGTAAGAATCTGTGAGCTAAGACCAGATGAAGCCCAGGAGAATAAACTGAATAAAACGATGCTGGGCTCAGTACAGGCAATGAGCTGAAGGAGCCCTGAAAGGACTCTGGGTTTTGTTTCCTGTGAATCCAATCAATTATATTCCTCTCCAGAAAGCCCGCATGCTTCTCTTCATTCTGCAGGAGGACAAATCCACTGGAGTCCCAAGCCAAGCTCTCCAGCTTCCACAGAATTCTGGCCTGGTACTCAGTCAGTGGACACAGAGTTGACAGCCTATGTGCTCCTGGCGTACCTCTCTAAGCCAAGGGTGCATGCAGGGGACATGACAATTGCAGCTGGTGCTGTGGCATGGCTGACCAGTCAGCAGAATGCCTACGGGGGCTTTGCCTCCACCCAGGTAACAAGTAGCTCCCTGTGGGTTGATATACTTTTGCACCTGAGGTTGTCAGGGAGAATCTTCTTGAGTCTTCCTGCTCCCAAGTCAGCTTCACTAGAGCTGATGCTTCCAGAGAGTTGGCTGTCTCTCCCTTTCTAGGACACAGTTGTTGCCTTGCAAGCCTTAGCAAAATATGCAGCAAGAACATTCAGCACATCAGGACAGGCACTTGTGAGGGTGAAGTCTCAGAGGGGCTTTGGGAAGACTTTCCAAGTCAACCGCCAGAAGAGGCTGCTGGTGCAGCAGGCAGCACTGGCAGAGGTCCCGGGTCAGTTCTTGGTGCAGGTCCACGGCAGTAGCTGTGTCTTTGCTCAGGTGAGGAGGTGGAATGAGTGTGAGAAAGAGGAGAGGTGAAGGATTCCGCCTTCTCTTCCTGCAAGAGATCATGCCTGGCCTGTCTTCTCTCATCCTGATCCTCACCTTACAGACAGTGCTGAGGTACCACGAGCCTCCCCCACGGGCTGCTGTGACCTTCACTCTGCGTGTCAACACGGAGCTGACCAACTGCAGCCAGGCCAGTGCGCATGTCCTCACCATCCGCATCCTTACCAGGTGACCCCAAGGGTTTCCTCCTCCAGCAAAACCCCCTGTGCCTGGGGAAAGCCTCAGGGCTGCAATGGAGGGACCTGGTAGTTGGGGCAGGGTGTGAATTTCGTAGGTGGAAGGGGTGGGGAAGGAAGGTGCTGGCTACCTCCTGGAAGGGGGACTCAGAGGGCACTATTCTCACAGAGCCAGACCCTCTGACTGTTTCTTCTTCTCCAGCTACATTGGGAGCAGGGTCACACCCAACATGGTGATCCTGGAGGTCTCCCTGCTGTCTGGATTCATCCTGGCTCCTAGATCCAGAATGCTGGTAAGGACTTTGGAGGGTCCCATCTGCTTGCTTCTGTTGTTGGGAACTATTCATTTCAGGCCATAAGGTAACTAAATTAGCAGAGACCCTTTGTTGTTGTAACTGAACCAAAACTTCTGGTTTCTAGACAGGCCTCACAAACATTGGCTACAGGAGATCAGAGGTGGTTCAGCTTCTCTGACATTATTCTGACTTCAGCCAGGAACACTGTACTGCTGGGTGTGCTGAACACCAGGATTTTTTTGCCAGAAATGCTAAGACAAGATTTCTTACAGAGACTCTAGTTATAGCCGAAAAGATTTCTAATTATAGCCCAAAAGATTTTCATGCCCCCCTAATTAAGCCATAAAATTGAAAGATGAATTATGTGCACAGTGCCCAAGCAGGTCTTTCAGAGCAGTCTAGCAGTCAGTGAGATGAGCTAACAAGAATCTTTTGTGGGATCTGCACATCTTTGCTGACCAACGCATCAGTCCTATGTACTATCCACACAGCCTTTTGTCCCCAGAGTGGGAGGTTCCTCTAACTGAGTGGTGACAGCAGAGGTCAACCTGTGAGAAAGACACAGTTCCACACAGACTCCACACCATCCTTTCAATACAGCAGTAGGTCCCCCCGGTCAGGAAACCATAAGGGAAGTGCTCACAAATTTCCTTGTGTTATTGTTTCCCATCCCAGCTGGAGCGCAGAACCATTGTTAAGAAAATAGAAGTGAAAGCTGATGTGGTCTACATTTATCTGGACAAGGTAAGTGGGAACAAAATCATGTGGTTTGGCAGAGCAAGTGCAAGAGGCAGGAGGACAAAGAGCTGTGTGAGAAGCCCGAGGCTGGGCTAGGCATGGAAAAAGAGCACTGGTAGAACTGTGGATGGAGGAAGCTTGCCCAATTTCATTGTCATTGGGTAAGCATTTGCTATTCCTTATGCACACTCATTTCTGAAATTCAGAATCTGCAATGGATTAGAAATATTTAGTGCAGGAAAGCATTCAAGCTAGGAAAGATGAAGATTCAATGACTTCTTTTTCCCCTTCCTTGCTAATATCTTTCCACCTCCACAAGCTGAACGATGAATCTCAGACTTTCATTCTGCAACTGGAACAAGTAATTCAGATGAAGAACCTGAAAAAAGCCATCATCAAAGTCTACGATTACTACCAGCCAGGTGGGTTGCAGATTCCCTCCTACTTTGGTGTCTGGGAGCTGAGTTCTTAGTTTTCTGTCTGGTAAAAGATGTTGTGCACTCTTTTCTGTGTGCATGCATGCGTGTGTAATCAACTTCCTTATTTCCCTTTGCAGAGGAGCAAGCCTTGGCTGACTACGGTGCTGTCTGTAGTTGAGGTACGCAGCAAGTTCCTGTGTGACACAGACAGGGCTTCAGAAGGGTGGAACATGGGGAATGTAAGCAATCTAAGAAGGGAAGGGGGATGGTAATCAGTGGTGAGCATGCATCCAGCTAGAAAGAAAGGCTGGCAGATACCTGTGGCTAGGTGTGAGCTAGTACTGGGGCTGCTTTGCAGCCAGAGGCAGCTGGAAGGCTCTGGTGGAATGCGGAGAGAGGGACATCATCTCTTTCCAAGGCCAGATTGGACAGAGCCTTGGGTGACATGGTCTAGTGTGAGGTATCCCTCCCTATGTCAGGGGGTTTGGAACTGGATGATTTTACGGTCCTTTCCAACCCAAACCATTCTATAATTCTATGAAAATGAGAGTGAGGAAGGAAGCATCACATGCAGCAAGAATGCAAAGCCATAGCAACCTGTGCTAACGAAGGCCCTCAGACCCAAGCATGGCTCCATTCCCTCCACCTCCCACTATATTCACTGGCCAAGGACCAAGCTGAAACTGGGAAGATGTGACTGTCTTGTGAGGTGACATACCCTGCTGCTAGAAGTGGGATGGCTTGCTAGTAGTACCCTGAAGCCAGGACAGGTCTGGAGAATTCTCTTCGGTAGGGCTAAGACAGAATCTTGATAAAGTACAATGCTGCATCCTGACACCATCCCACAGAGAGTGCTGGCTAGGGACCTGCCTAGAGAGCCACCCCCATTACTAGCCGAGACAAGGCACCTTCCACAGCCTGGCAATAGCCATGGAAGGACCGGATTATGACTTCCTTATTTGTCTTCATTTCTGTCACCGCAATTGCACATGGTGCCTCAGAAAAGGGTGGAGAAGCTCCCATACTTACGATAAAGGAAAGGAGAGAAACTGCCATGCCATGACTACTGCCCTTGCCCAATATTCCAGTTTGGTCACTGAATGGGAGGAGTGTCCCAGCTGGGACACAGCCTCCATTAAAGTTGGACCTGTGTGGGTCCTGCTCCCTAGTGGATGGACTGAGGGTTCACAGCAGTCCAGCAGTTGTGCCTGCGCTGTGAGGACCTGGGCTGGGGTGAGGGTTTGTGTGTGTCACTTATCTGGTAAACAGCTGGAGGAAGAATGAAAGTAAGCATGTCCCCTAACCTTGCCATGATTACGCCAGTTGTTGATGGACCGCAGGCTTAGCCCATGAAGATACCACTTCTGCCATTGCCAGTGTATGAACCTTCTACTTATCTACCTACCTCCTCTATTGCTCTCTCCTCATGCTTCCTATGGTTTCTCCTAATACTTCCTGCAGTAGGAATCAGGCAGCTTTGGAGTACAAGATGCAAGTGAACATGCTGTGACAGCTGTATCTCCTGTGCCCTTCCTGCAAGCTCCTAGGCTATCAGCTCTTTGAAGCAGTCTCCAGACAGTAATGCAGTACACTAAGACTAGCTCCTCACCTCTCTTCAACAGTACAGCCTCGCCAATTGCTCTTGGTAAAGGTCTCTAATGCAACTTCTGGCCAAAGGAACTGTTGAACATGGGAGCGAGCCCTCCCTTGCCTTCAGCTCCAACTTGTGTGATGGTCACCTCCTCCCCCAGGTGCTAACTCTGCTTTGGTGCACGCTCTACCTCCCCTGTGCAAGCCCACTAGTGGAGGGGCAGAGTTTTGCAGGTGTACATGCACACACAGCAGAGGTGAAGAAGTCTTTTTTTCCCAAATGCTTTTAAATGCAATTTGACTGCTTCAGGAGAACAAGAGTAAACCTGAATAATCACTCAATCAGGCAGTTCTAGTCTCCTGACTTTTAATAAGATGCCAGGTACAGTCTTAGCCTTTCAGAAACTGTTAAGCAGGAAATTGCAAGCATTTTCTCTTTGCTTCCCATCTGTATGTGGTGGCTGTTGCCAGGGCTGATAAATGATTGATGAACGGAGACTGCAAGAGGATAGGTGGGTTCCCGTTCCTGTGAAGATGACAAAGGACAAAAAAAAGAAGTGTGTTCCTGAAGTATTAACGGCTGGAACTCATGGGGGTTTTTTGCATTTCCTGACCAAATGGAACTGCCAGGCTGTTGAGGACAGGGCTTGCTCTGGCTCTACCCACACAAAGCCTATGACAGAATCTCCACTAAGAGTGTGGGGCTTGTGGCAGGCATCCCAGGGCAGGGCTGTGTACCTCCATAGGTGATTTGTGAAGTAAGCGTATTTCTCCATCTCATGGGCTGTGGGCAAAGAAGCATGCAGGTGTAAGTAAAGTTTAGAACAGGAGCAGGCACTGGTCAAGTTCAAGCTTTGCCTTTGCCCAGCCTAGAAAGAGAAGGGAGAGGTATCCATTCCCTAGCATGGATTGTAGGCCAGGCTGAGGCTGTGAAGGGCTTGACACTGAATAGAACTCAGTTCCTGCAGTAAAGGTGAATGTGGTGTGTGCATGGATAGGGCCGGAGGGCTCTGGAGCTGCACAGAAAGTGCCAGGAAAAGGAACTCTGTTGACTTGAGGAATGTATATTTGATGCAAAAGGTCAGGACTGGTGTAGGACTCAGGACAGGCAGCCCTTGTTTTCTGTAATACACCTCCAACGTCAAACCTTCCACTTCAGTTCTCCTTTTCCCTCAGTTTAACCACTGGGATAGAGGAATTCAACTTAACTTAGCATTGCTAATCACTTTCTACCCTGAACATGCAGTCTGGTGAGTTTCTTGACCAAGGGTCATTGACTGCATCTCCCCACCTCTCCATACTCTTCAGGGCCATGCCTGTGATGACAAAAGAGGTGTTGGTTCCTCACCTCACTCGCATGGGGCACTGTAGCTCATCACTGTTGTTTCTTCTGGAAGAGGAGAAAAAAGTGCTGGTGAGATACACTTGCCCAAAGCCCACTAAAGCAACTCAGCATTGTGCCTCTGTTTTCTAAGGAAGATGTTCCCTAAGCTAACAGGCCGTGACTGCCTTCTACTGTGACACATGAAACCACTGGTTTGTGTCAAAGACTCTGTGTGCAGTTATTCTGGATTCACCCAAGTCACGGTGCTCGTGAACTTTTTTAAGTCCCAAACAGCTCCATTATACTAATGGATTCCTCACTTTCTGAAGCAATAGGAATCCCTAGTATTCCTCTCACTAGGGCCCCAGAAAACAGAGGACAAATTATTTTCAGTGTCATTTTTCTAAGGGGGCCCTCACTCTTCTAAGCCATCGTCTCACTATGGTCCCTCTGCCTTTGCTGCCTCCCACAGAATGAGCATACAAAAACATGTGTCTGAGCTTCTTGCTCTCCTCTTGTGGGAAAGTTAGACCTTAAGTGGATCTGCATGCTAACTTCAACCTTGCAGGTTCTGGGGCCAGAGAAAGAAGGATTTACCATTTTGAAACCAAAGAGGTTTCAAGTCCATCACTAGAGAGCTTCTAAGGGGCAGTTAGATAAAATAGATGTCAAGTCTCAGACAATTCCATCCCTGACAACTTCAGAAAGTCTCTTTCCAGTGGTACATTTGGGTGGTTTCTGCAGTACAGCATCAGAGCTTACCTGGCATGTAGTAATCATAGACCTTGATACTAGCTGGCTTACGATCTTTCACTTGCATGTCCTGCTGCACCATCAAAGTGTAGGTGTGAGGCTGCCTAGTCAGCTAAGACCAAGAGATGCAAGGATTATTGCCAGAACCAAAGTCCTGTAAGACAATCCCTTCTACCTGCTCCTTCTGCTTTCCAGTCCATGTTAGAAACATCGTTTACTTCATATGTTGTGGGCATCTCCCATTTTTGATCACTCAGCTCATGAGAGACATCAAACCCACAGACTCAGTGTGCACTGGGTATTTAAATGTGTTCCCAACCAACCCCACATTCCCCACACTGAGCTCTGCTCTGAGCTCCTTCATGCATCTTGCCTGATTGGCTACTTCCTTATACACAGTCCCATTACATCAGCTCTCATTCTCCAGTCTCCCACAACCTTCATCATTAACCAGAAAAATGTAAGGCGTGGATGAACAGCTGCTGGATGACAGTAGTTACATGACCTGCTGTTGATCCAGTTCCACTTTGTGCTACCTGGCAGCCTGAACTGAAATCTTCCTCTGTGCTACCATTCTGCTCTGTGCTGTAGATAAAATGAAAGCAGCATCTCTGTAAGCCTAATGCATCCACATGACAATAACCTGCTTACTATGAGGCTAGCTTAGCTCAGCTTGTTGACAACTGGGGTTGAAGAATCACAGAAATGTAGAAGTGTTCTTGGAAATTCTGAAGTTTCAAAATTCGTGCCAGGTCTTGTTTCTGGTGCTGTACCTAGAGAAAGGCTGGAATGGTTGTTAATCTGTGGATTAATGGGACTCTGGCGCGAGCACTGCTGTACACGCAACCGTCTGGTTTAATTTTGAATGATCTTGGCAAACTCCATGAGCAATCTTGGGTGCTCCCTACTACATTCAGGCTCCTTAAGGGCTTTCTAAAAATTCAGGCTTGCTTGAATTTGCTATATGGATCCTACTACTACTCCCCCAGTCCTGATCAGACACTGTATATGGACTTTAAACAGTGTCTGAACAGTGCCAACAGCTATAGTCTTAACATCAGAGATAGTCTCATTTCATTCAAGTGGTCATGTATACAGGCTCTATAGCTGAACTACTGCAGGCTGACAAAACACACTTCTCCATGTCAGCAAATGTGGCTGGCATGTAGGAGAACAGCTCTGGAATCTTAAAATACTAATGGAACCCAGATACAAGAGTAAGCTAAAAGCTGTCTACCAGCCTTTAGTCCTTTTAATGATGATGTTAGCCTGAATTCCACTTACTTCCTCCAGGTAGAGAATGACTTGGTCAGCTTTGCTTTCAACTTTCTTCACTAAAGGCATTTTCTTTAGCTGAAAATAGGCGGGAGAGGGGAAATGTCAGAAAGACTCTAACAGAAAGCAGAAACATTCAGGCATATTTGTGAGAGCATGGGCAAAATGTTCACATGGCCAAAGGAGCCTTGGGGTAGAGGAAGGCAAGGTGCAGCCTGGAAGAGGCTTTGGGTGTAAAGATTTCTTGGGAAGAAGACAACTGTGTTTTCCCACCCACAGGAATGATCACAGTTCTGCATGCAGTCCTTCATGATGGACACCCAACGCTATTCCCATCCCAGCTGGGCAGAAACTCATGATCTCACCTCTTCCAGCGAACCTGCCACGGGGCTGTATCCTGACAGCAGCTCCACTTGGATCAAGACCATGTTGGTGGACACACGGTTCCCTGTGTAGCTGCAGCAGGAACCCAGGGGACAGCACTAAAGTTACTTTCTGAGCCATGATCTCCAGATACTCTGCCCAGTTTCGGTACTCAGGTGAAAGAACCTGTCTTTCCTTCCAGTGTTTCTCTTGTTAAGCATACCTGTGTCTGTACTGTAATAAATCTTTGTGCTTCCTCTGATTTCTCTTCTCTTTTAGTTACGCTGAGCCAAGGACAATAAATCCCTTGGAAGGCTTCTGGAGTTACCTTCTCTAGGCATGTCAGGGAATATCACATCCTCCACCTGCTTTCTTGGCAATTTTGTCCCAAGTCAGGGACAAGGCAAAGGTGCAGCAGAGGAGAGTGATGTGACAGTGAACCAGGAGCAGAGGAGGGAAGACTTAATTAATTAAGCAGCCAGTCCCACAGGGCATTCACATCACTAGTGTTTTGAGACCTAATCCTGGAAAGGGGTGAGACCCACAGACCTTGGGAGAACTTGTGGTGACTGGCATGATCATGAGATAGGACTGTAGCCTGAGCCATCCCTCTGGGGCCTTGTACCTTTCACCCAGCTGAGGAGAGCATGGTTAAATGAACAGGGACATCTTAGCACTTGGACCTCATGAGTGAAGGGGAATCCTGGTCACTAAGAGACTTGTGTGGTGCCAGAAGCCTCTTAGCACATGGAAGGCAAAGGTCAACTGAGTGTCTCCTACCGAGCATGAATGGTGACAGGGAACTGGGTGATGTTGGGTGCAGTGCACTCTGTCTGCACAGACACAGCAAAGGTGACATCTTGCCTCACTGGAGGGATGTGGTACCGCAGAATGGCCTGCAAGGACAGAAAGAAGCTACTTGGCAGAGAGCAACAGGGTGGTTTTTTTTTTTCTGGAGAGTATCTTTGTCTAGTGTTTGGCTGCTGTTTGCTGTCTTTCTTTGGTGTAAGAGAGTGATGTGATGTGGTGGAAGTGGAGGTTCTGTGTGTGCACTGGCCCTGGCGGTGTTCACTCGACTTCTTGGAGGAAAGGTGCAGCTCTGACTGAAATCTGATCCAGATTTCATTTGGGAAATTGCTATTCCTTTCCCTTGGATCCCAGCTACTCTTATGAGCCTTGAAGCCCAGATTTCTGCAAGTCACTGCAGCAGTCTGTTTTCAGTGTTGGCCAAGTGGCAAGATGGCAACAAGCTCCTGGCTTTCAAAGCTTTTCCTCAGACAGACCTTTTCTCCTTGGCTGGGCTTACCTGCAGGAAGAGGCACCCGTGGCCCTGCACATGCACAGTGTAGTCCTGAGGAATGGCTGGCAGCTCCACTGTCTGCAGAAGCAGGCGATTGGTGTTGTCTACTCGGATGTTCTGGTTGAAACCCTCAGAGGAGAGAGAAACCTGAAGGTCAGGGCCATCCTTGCTGAAGGTCTTGGTTGCATACAGGGCTAGGGCTTCCAGAGCAACCACTGTGTCCTGAGGAAAGAGACACACATTAAGCAAAATAGGATCCCTGCTTCCTTTTCATGCCTTTCCCTCCCTTATACTGCAGCTACAGCCCAATAAGGATTGAGCTTTCCCCTTGGGCTTTTAGTATGGGATTAGCTCAAAGGAATACAAATATTCACATTTTCCCAACTCTCAGGAGCTATAAATCCATGTATCTTTTTCCTCCTTTCCTTTCCTTTCCTTTCCTTTCCTTTCCTTTCCTTTCCTTTCCTTTCCTTTCCTTTCCTTTCCTTTCCTTTCCTTTCCTTTCCTTTCCTTTCCTTTCCTTTCCTTTCCTTTCCTTTCCTTTCCTTTCCTTTCCTTTCCTTTCCTTTCCTTTCCTTTCCTTTCCTTTCCTTTCCTTTCCTTTCCTTTCATTTTTTTTTCTATGGGCTGTGCTAGAACCCATAGCTCTCAAACCATAGCCTGCTGTTGCAGGTTCACTAACGATGATGGCTTAAGGGGATTACCTGGGTTGAAGCAAAGCCTCCATAAGGGTTTTGCTGCTTGGTGAGCCAAGACACAATCTGGGATGCCTTTCTGATTTCCTCTGAAGACAAACTTGACTTCAAAAGGTGAGCCATGAGGATACTAGATGTCAATTCCACATCAACAGATGGAGCCTGGTACCAATAGAGAGAGCCTTCTTCCCATTTGGACTGTTGACTCCAGAATATCTGGTCATCTAAAGATGGAGTGGGAACACTTATGGAGCGTGTAGCTGTATCTAATGGTCTTGGAGTCTTACTTAGCCTTTGTGCCTATGCATTGAGTGAACACTGGCACAAGATATGGCTGCATATCGCCCCATTTGACCCCCACACCCTGCTTTTCCCAGTAAAAACATAGGTCTGCAGTCTGGGAAGAAGCTCTATAACATCCATGAAGCTCCGCTGTTTAGATGACTGGGAGACCAGGACTGTGAGATCACCTATAAAGAAAGTCTGTCTCACAGTGTGGGTATAGCCTGTGACAGCTTGGCAAACAGAGGCTATCCAAGCCTTGGGCTCCCCACTCCTGCCCTCTGTTCCCTTGGTTGTTCAGCCCTGGGATCTCCACACAATTATGCCAATGTCCCTCTCAACTGCCCCACAGTCTTTGATACCTGATGTTATAGCGGCCTTATCCAGCCTTTTGAGGATTTTCTGCCTGAGGGCTTTATCACCTGCTACTGCAAAGGCATTTGCAGCTAGTGCCAGACTATAGAGGTTGGAACTGTCAGTGTCAGCATTGACCAGGTCCTTTATACATTTCAGAGCTTTCCACACAACTGGGTCCTAGAATACAATTGAAAGCACACCGTTTGCTGGCAGTGTGTATGAGGAGGGAATGCAGTATTGGCATGTGCAGGGGAGCATGGAAACAAGAGCAGGACACATGGGGAGAAAACTGGTAGCGTGCCCATGTGTCAGAGGCAGAGCAGCCCATCCCTGCTGATGATACTCACAGAGCGTGGCATCCCTGAGTGTATGAGAGCTGTGATGATTGCAGAGCTCAGCCCCAGTCCTTCCTCCACTGCACCCTGCAGCCATGACAAAACAGAAAAGAGGAGGGCTGCTGTGAGAAGGGAGTAGTTTTACAGTGCCTTCTGCCCCCCAAGCAAGAGCCAGTGCAGGCAGTGGTGTTAGTCCTGTTCCTCCTGGTAAGGAAGTGCCAGGGCTAGTTTCTACTCTTGTAGGTCCTGCTTACCAGAGACCTTCTCAGCCACAGTACCCAAGCTCCTCTGGGCAGATGATCCCCACCCTCTGTTGAACACATCCCCCTTTCCTCTCTCTTGCAAAAGATATTTAATAGCAGATTTCAGTGCAAAGGGAAAGTGATGTTCCCATGTGGCACCTCACATGGGGGCCAGGACAGTGGCAGGTATATGGAGGAGCAAAAGGAAAGGTATCTTTTGAAAGGGAAAGTGAAATGTCCCTCTCTCTTCACTCAGAGGATTAACTATCTGAGGTTCTGTTCACTGAACTGCTAGTGGCTGCACAACTGTAGTGGTTCTCTGAGTGTGTCTGTGTATGCACTACGCTGTATTTCTGAGTGCATAGGGCACGCCTCTGGCAAGATGAGTCTCACATGAGTAGCTACCATCAGTCTTCCATTCATTCCATTTCTGACTCTCTCTGTACAAGAAGGAATTCAGACTGAAGGAAGAAATGGCAGCTCAATAAGGGGAATGGAAGCTAAACCAGTTTACCAAGGGAACAATACAGAGCTTGAAAACTCTGAGGCATGTGTTAGCTTTTGAGATGGGGCTAGGACAGGGCACTGAATCAGGTCCCACACATGTATCATCAAATGCAAACCTCCATCCTTCATAGCCTGAAAAGGTGCCACCATGAGTAAGCACATCTCTGAGTGTCACTTAAGGGTGACCTTGGGCACATCAGAGCCTCCTTGTTGTAGTAGCATTCATTTGTTCTTGGTACTCAAGTTGGGCCAGAAAGTGAAGGAACTCTGAGGTATCTAATGAACAACCAGAACATGTCATACCATCAGACCATTGTTGAAGAGCTTCCCCACACTCTTGAAGCAGCCAGATGGAGTCTGACTTTTAATCAGGGAATTGGCAGCATCTTTTATATTCTGCTCATCTATGTGGATGAAGTCCTGGGCTTGGCTGAAGGTCTTGAGGACGAGGGCCGTAAGCCTACAGCCAAGGGAGAGAGAAGAAAATCAAATTGAACCAGTCACTGATGCCCATCTCCACTAGGAGATAGGAGTCTTCTGTGTCTTTCCCTATGTCATTCTTGGAGAAATACCAGCAGGCTAGAGCCTCTGTGCAGATGGAGAACTGGAAGCAGTGCACATGAGGTAGATGCTGTTGAAGCTTGGGCTTAGACCCATTTGAAGCAAGAGACCAAAAAATCACTGGCAGCTCAGTGCTCCCCCCAGAACACTGCCAATTCAAACAGGGTGAACTTGTGTGATTTAAAGCCTGGAAGGCTGATACATAGTGAGCTCAGTCAGCCCCTTTCCCAACCCTGCTTGGGCACAAAGCACCCTGAAAACATGGAAAGAAGGTGTCTTTGCAGCCAAGTTTTCAGCATCAGTTTCAGTTGGAGTGTCTAAGCACACACAGTCAAATTGGAATACCTCCAGGCAGTTCATCGGCATGGTTATCTTCCAAAAAGTCTCAGGAGCAGTTTTTGTTCTAGACTCCACAACTCCAGACTCCTTCAGTTTCCCCAGACCAAAATCCAAACCAGCCGGAGCCTGACCAGGTCACGATGTTGTTCCTCAGCTGTGTCTGGATATTTCTGCTTACCATGTGTTCCCTGGCTCACTTCCTTCCCCAAAGGCACTGTATGAGCCATCTGCATGCTTGTACAGGAGTTGCCGCTGATATCCTGTGGGAAAAGGCTGGGGTTAGTGAAGATGCTCTGTGTCTATCCTGTTCTCAAGGTAACAACCTGCCCTACCAATCCTGCTGGTCCTTATAAAGAACATTGTCTCTGAGAAATTCAGCAAAGGGCTTTCAGAGGAGTGATCCAGAGCAGCCCTGCTGAGAAGGACTTGGT